GAGCATTCACATTGGCTTGAAGCAAATTGTCATGTCATATCCACAGTCAAGAGCAGAGGAAAACTAGATGCATACAGATCGGCTTTTTGTTCCATTCGTTTTTTTTTTTTTTTTTACTCTGATACAGTCCAGAATCTCTGCCCAAGGATTGATGTGATCCTCCTCAATTAACTTAATACAGCGTTCTCCTACAGAAAGTCCATAGACCGATCCAATACAGACACGCTCTCCTTAAGTCTCTCCTTTTGGGCGATTATAGGGGTCTCAGGTTGAGCATTAAAAGTGAGTATCACATTGGGCAAGTCCTCTACCGACATAGCTGTTCCATGGCTCCCCTGTCCCCTGTTATTCCCCATTATTTCTGCCTCTCTTTTACCTCTGAACTTTGGAGAGAATCTTTATCAGAGGACCCTCTAACACCTTGGTCTTCTCCCTCCTTCCCCAAGGGAGATTTTTTTCGACCAAATAACTTTCTCTACGTCTCCTTGGTCCTACCCTGAGTTTTTGTGTTCTACTTTCCAAAGGTCTCTTCTTTCCTTATGCATCATGGTTTTTGTTTTTGCTTCCAACTCTATTCCCATGTTGTATCCGCTGAACATTCTTTAAGAGAGATAGGTTTAGGATATGTTATTGCTTTTAGACATAGACAAATTGTCACTTAAACGATTAATTGATATCTATTTTTTCCTACATCATTCTTTTGGGATGCTTTCTTCCTGAAGCAGAGTACCCTTTCCATGCAGAGGTGCCTTTGGACTAGCTCTCACATTATCCCACTTATAACTGGTCTTTGGTAATGGTCCTTATTTTGAAGTGTAGTATGCTATTTAAAGTTCCATTCTATCATCTTTCTAGCACTACACAGGCCAGCTTCAGAAAGTTATTTGCCATGACAAGTTTCAAGAATGATCAGTGTTGAAGAATGAGAAGGCTGACATCACCTCCTCCGATGATCTTCTGGGCCCAGTGATAGTCTCAAGCATCAGCAACAGAGACTTCTGTTGAATTTAAAAACAACAACAACAAATGATTGAAATAATACTTGATATCAACATGGTTTTCACTAGTGAAAGGATGCAACTCTTTTTATGAGCTGAGATAAATCTAGATTGTGTCTTCAAGTTTATTTCCTATAAAAAGAAGCAAGATGGAAAATGGCTTGAGTGAGAAGTAGAAGTAGGATTTGATTGATTGACAAGTTGCTGGTAGGGACATCAGGCTGGGCATGTTCTGTCATATGGGGGTGTTGAGTTTGCATCCCAACTACCATTTCTCAGCTGAATAACTAGTATGAGACCTTTCTTTTCCCCCAGTCTCCTCACTGGTAAAGTGATATGATTAAGGTGCCAGCATTATAGTGTGGAGAAATCTAAATGATGTCTGAGAACTGTCAAGGGCTTGCTCTTGAAGGGCGAGATCTTCCATGTATTCTAAAAGCAGCCAAAAAAAATGGATAATGATGCCTCTAGAAGGCAGATGGGTAAGAACGACAAAAAGAGTATCATCATGCTATCTGTAAACCTGAAGACTGGGCTTCCTGGAACCAGGGAAGGAGATTCTCAAACTGAGAAAAGCTTGTGTAATTCTAATTTCTGTGCTGCCTCAACATCAAGACACGTGAGGCCAGAGGAAAATCTTAGTCTGTGATCTTCTGACTAGTAGCCTCAGAATCACCTGAAAATTCCTTAGATATGCACGTGTTGAGACCTCATTATTGATTGAGTTAGAAGGTAGAGGAGTGTGGCTTAGCAAGTTTCTGATTCTAATACAGGCTGAAGTCAGAACTGTTCTCTGCCTTTGCTAGGATTTGAGGTGATTTCCTGGTGAGATTATGGGTGTGTTAGGACTGAAACAGGGATAACACTTTTGCCGTGGTGATGTATCTGGCATGGAATCTGATAAGACTGTGGCTACATAGCCACAATTTGCTTCAATATATGAATAAGTTAAGAGAAAATAACTTTTAAAACGAATACTAATTGTAAATCTTTGAATCACATTTTGTATTTTTAAAGAAACAGAGTGACTTTAATGTCCAACTATATAATGAGATAGATAATCAGTAGCTAAATCTGTCCTTAAACTCTAACCTATGAAACCATGACTTGTGCTTAATATCTGATATGTTTTCTAATCAAGGTCCCATCACCATTCTTCTCAGTTCTCATACAAAAAGTATATTAATCATCTTTCTTTCCAGGATAATGTCATTTATTCTGACAATACAACTAAAATTTATTCGCTATAGAAACTCTGGAAAATTCACTAAAATATTGGAAGTGAAAAGAAAACACCTCACTTTCTATTAGATAGAGATGACCCCCAATTTGTTGAACTCACTCACTTATTTCTAGTATATTCCCATAAAGCATGTTTCATTATGATACATTATCATCTATTATACATGTGGATTTATTTCAGTGTCTTTACATACTCTCCTGCATGGGCTTACTAATGGCCTGGTGTCTCTGAAGGAATCTTTGACTGCCCTTACATTCCTTTCATTGGTTGAAGGTTCTAAGAAGCCCTTTTCATTTCCTCTACCTGCACAGTTCAGGCTCCTTCTCACTCCTGTAACCTCCTAGGTTTGTTGGGATCTTAAGTCTAAGCCAGGGACCCCTGCCCCACTCTGTACCTTCCTAGGCTCTGAGCAAACTGGCTTATTGTCCTCACAGGATTTCCATTTATCCTTTTTTAAATTAAAAAAATATTTAATTAATTTATTTTTTGATTTAAGTTCTCACTGTTTAATCCTGGCTGGCCTAGAACTCTCTGTGTAGCCCAGGCTGGTCTGAAATTCACAAAGATTCACCTCCCTATGCCTCCCTAGTGCTGGGATTTAAGGAATATACCATAATTCCCTAGAAGGTATTATCTCTTAATGGCTGAGCCACCACCCACTCACCCCCACTTTTAAACATTTGTTTAAAAAAAACTATCATTTCTCATTTTACATATCAATTGCAGTCCTTTCTCCCTCCCCTTCTCCTGCTTCCTCTACCCTGACTCCCCCACCATCCCCCCAGAGAAGGTAAGGCTTCCCATTGGAAGTCAACAAAGTTTAGCACATACTTTGAGGCAGGACCAAGGCCTTCCCTACTGTATCTAGGATGAGCAAGGTATCCATCCAAAGAGAATGGGTTCCAAAAAGCCAGTACAAGCATTAGAGATAAATCCTGGTCCCAGTCATATAACTGTCACCCACATTCAGAGAGCCTAGTTTGATCCTAAGCTGGTTCCCCCACTGTCAGGCCAGAATAGGTGAACTCCCATTAACTCGGTTAAGCATTATCAGTGGGTATCCCCATCATGGTCTTAACCACTTTGTTCGTATTCTCACTCCTCCCTCTTTTTGGCTGGACTTTGGGAGCTCAGCCCAGTGTTCCACTGTGGATCTCTGGATCTGCTTCCATCAGTTGCTGGATGAAGGCTCTATGATGACATGTAAGATAGTCGTCAATCTGACACCAGGGCAAGGCCAGTTCAAACACCCTCTCCACAGCTGCTTAGAGTGTTAGCTGGGGTCATCCTTGTGGATTCCTGGAAATTTCTTTAATGATAGGGTTCTTGCTAGCCCCATAATGTCTCACTCAATCAAGATATCTCTTTCCTTGCTCTTCCTCTCCATCCTTCCCAACTTCTCTGTCTTTCCTATCCCACTACGAATTATACTATTTAAATGTCTGCTACAGTCCATGGACCTCCTCAAATTTTAACACACCTCTGCTACTACTACCCTACTCTTTGCCTTTCTTCCCTTTTCAGTTTTTTGAACTGCCTTACAGACTTTCTGTTGTACTTATTTAACTCGCCAATTGTCTGCTTTCCCTGAATGGAATATCATCGCCACAGAAGTTACAACATTTGCTCATATTGTGTTCTATGTGCTATTCTAAGACCTACAGGAGTAGGTTTTGTAACAGTGTGTATGTGAGGTAGGAAATGAGTGGATATGTAAATGAATGCGTACTCTCAAATAAGTCAAACCTCTGATTTAATGATTTTGCATTCTGAGGCTAGTCAGTCTATGTGAATGTAAACGCCCAGTTGAAAATGTCACACTACAGGACTGGAGATTGCTGAGTGGGGAAGAAGTCACTTACGGCAGCCTGGAGCTCTAGGTCCAGAGCACATCTTACTCTCTCTCTGGTCTCTGTGAATGCTAGCACACTGTGGTGTAGAAATAGGAGCTGCGAGGCTGCGTCCCAGGCACCCAGCCGCCCACATGGCTAGCTTATGCCCCGAAATAATTACACAGAAACTGTATTCTTTTAACCATTAGTTTTAGCCTCTTAACCCATTTCTAATAATCTATGCAGCACCACGAGGTGTGCTTACAAGGAAAGATCTTAACCTGCGTCTGTCTGGAGTGGGAGAATCATGGCAACTCCTGACTCAGCTTCTTTCTCCCAGCATCCTGTTCTGTTTTCTCTGCCTACCTATTTGATAGGTTGGCCTATCAAATGGGCCTAGGCAGTTTCTTTATTAGTAAGAAATCACTCCCACATCACAGTGGGATGCACACACATACACTAAATAAAAGTAAATCTTAAAAATACATAAATGTCACACTTCCCCAAAGCTTTCCTTAGCACTTAGGGTAAAGATGATCTCTCCATTTCTTAAAGCACGCTCACCTCTATGTTTCTTTTTCTAGTGGCATTAACATGTTAAATCATTCGATAATTATATATGATCTTTCAGATCGTGTGATATCTAAGCTCCTTAAATGCAGGCAGACACTCATTATATTTCCACATCCTGCCATCCTTTGACAACGACATGCAACAAATAGGTTTAAAAATAAATTATTGGCAAAACTGATATTGCCAAAACAATGGAGATTTCACATAGTGACATATACCGTTTGCCTGCTTGGTAAGGATGTTCAAGTTTAATCATACAAAGAAAAAGAAAAAAAAAACACTTGATGTCTGTACATTGATGATTCTTGTTTTCAAAAGGAAGTGACTATATAAGCATTATCAATATCTTTACAGATCATAAATGCTGCACTTGCTTTGGCATCGCGACCCAAGAGTCAAGTGGTCAAAAACACCATGGAAATGTATAAGCGCACATGGGAGCATTACATACATGTTCTCACCGAAGCAGTGGATGACATCACCAGCATTGACGACTTCCTGGCTGTATCTGGTACGTCTTTTGATCTTCTAATTCATGCACATAGTATTATTAACCTTATTTTTTACAGTTACACAGTTACCTGTGTATATGTGTTCATATGTACCTGCACATGCCATGGTATATATGTAGAGATCAGATGATAACTTTCTTCTTCTCTCCTTGCACCGTATGTATTCTAAGAATCAAACTCAAATCATTAGTCATGGTGGAACATGCCTTCACATACCAGGTACATATCATCAGGTACTGTATGAACTAGGTTAACCATGACTATCATCCACTGGTGCAATATAAAGAACCTTTATTCTTGAATATCTGGAGGTAGGGTGTGCTATGCACTAATAACATAAGAGTCATTGGTGGCCTGTCTGGTATTTTGAGTTTCATGCCTGGCAGTCTTTCCAGTTCTAAACTCTCTCTGTGTCTTTAAAAGTTACTCCTGTACCTTATTACAGCACAATGGGAAGCAGGAGTTGGAAGTCTTAGGAATTTTTCGTCTTTAATAAATTCATAATTTATTAAGTCTCAATACTTAAAATTCTTAATGGCATAAAAATTATATATGAAGTTCTTGATTTTCCTGTACTTGATTTCCAACTAATTTTACCTTCATTCAGGAAAACAGACACACATGACAGAAACAGACAGACAGAGACAGAGACACGAAGAGAAACAGAGAAATATAATATGGTAATTCACCTCTCAATATGAGTATTTGATATTTCTAACATAAAAAATCTAACAAACAGTATAAATATCTGTCTATGTCAGCGGTAGGTGACAGATTTCACATTCCACATGAAATCCAGAGGAATCTCTCCTGCAGACTAGAAAGGGATCCCACTAGAGTGGACAAAGACTCACAATGCTTCTCCCTTGCAAGTGTGAATTAAAATTTGATTATTGTATTGTCAGAGCAAATAGCTACATTGTTTTGTCATTTTCCTTACCTTAAAAGTAATCTATTTAAAGTAAATGATATATTTTGTTATTTATTTTTCATGAGAGGACAGTCTTAGAATATGGTACCATTCATTGGTAATAAAACACACATTCTTATAATTATCCAATATCAGTTTATTAAGGTCTTCTGATGGAATTTAGAGAACTTTGATTAATTTGTGACTTCACATGTGCCTACTGCATCATCCTAAGCAATTATACCAGAAATATGATGTATTTTAATGATAAGAATGTATTATAGTTACTTTAAATAACTTGAATTTTATTGAATTAAAAATTTGAAAATATAGAAAATGTACTTGAGAAAATATTAATAGCTCCTGATCTAGCTGGTGCAACTAACTCCTAATAGATATTTTCTGTTCGGCAATGCTACTATAATTATATTTTCAAATTTTTGGTGCCCCCCACATACACACACATACACATATATATGTATATACATATATATGGGGATGGAGAGATAGCTCAGTGGTTAAGAGCACTGCCTACTCTTCCAAAGGTCCTGAGATCAATTTTTCACAACCACATGGTGGTTCTCAATTACCTCTAATGAGATCTGGTGCCCTCTTGAGGAAGAGACCTAGTCAGTCATCGTCATCAACTTAGACATGAAACCCAATATGGACAGGTTCCATAGAGCCACCATATATGGGCTACCCATGCATACTTCACATTAAAAATAATATATATATATATAAATATATATAAAATATCCTGCTAATTACAAAAGAGAACTTGCCCTCTTCTAAACCAATCAGTAGAAAGAGAATGAAATTTCTATAATGAGTTTCGAATGGTGGCATAATTAACTTGGGCCCAGAACATAATGATAGCCTGTATCTGTAGCAGCTGTTGAATTATGTAGCTTAAATGCTCACATGGAGACAGCTTTTGAGCCACCATGTGCTGTCACTGAGCAGAGAAGATGAGAAATGCATAGACTATTTCTCCCTCATGATCTCCCTCTCCCTTGCTCATAGTCGCTCTTCCCTTTCTTTCATTGGATTCTCAGAGCTCAGCCTGGTGCTTGGTTGGGGATCTCTGCATCTGGTTTCAGCATTTACTGGATGAAGGCACTATGATGATAGTTGGGGTATTCACCTGTCTGATTATAGGGGAAGGCCAGTTTGGGCACCCTCTCCTCTATTGCAAGGATTGGGATCATCCTTGTGGATTCTTGAGAATTTCCCTAGTACTAGGTTTCTCCCTAACCCATAGTGGTTCTCTCTATCAAGATATCCCCTTCATTGTTCTACCACTATATTCTCTCCTCTTGACCATCCTTTTCCTCATGTTCACATCACCATCCCCCCTCTTTACCACACCCCCTCACCTCCAGTTTGCCAAGGAGATCTCATTAATTCCAACTCCCAGATCAATCTATGTGTCCCTCTTAGGATCTTCCTTGTTACCTAACTCCTCTGGAGTTGTGGATTGTAGTCTGGTTATCCTTTGCTTTACATCTAATAACCACGTATGACTGAGTACATGCCATGTTTATTTTTCTGGGTTACCTCACTTACAATGGATTTTTTTCCTAGCTCCATCCATTTGCCTGCAAATTTCATGATGTCACTGCTTTAGATAGCTGAGTAATACTCCATTATGTATATGGGAGACAGTGGTGAAACTGGGCCTATCTGAGGGGCCCCTGGCAGTTGGACCAGGTTTTATCCCTGGTTCATGAGCTAGCTTGTTGAGCCCATTCTCTATGTGGGAATGCATGCTGGGTATTAATGCAGGGGAGAGAGATTTGATCCTGCCCCAACTTAATGTACCAGACTTTGTTGACTCCCAGTGGGAGCACATATCAGCTGGGAAGAGGGGGTGGGTGTGAGATAAGGAGGAGCTGGGGGGGGAGGAGCAGTGGGAGGGAGAACAGTGCTTGAGATATAAACTGAAATTAAAAAAATAAATTATAAAAAGATTAAAATGTGAAACAATCAACTACAACAAATAAAAATGCCTAGAAGGAGTTCTTACCAGCACCAATCCTTCTAAAAAGTCCCTGAGCTTAGTCTTTTTCATACTCCAACCTTGTGGATGGTCACCTACCAGGTAAACAAAATGATAATTTCATTAACAAAAAGGAGACAAAGGAAGAAGATAAAAGGATAAGTGGTTGTTGAACAAATGATCAAACAAGTTTACTCAAAACTCTCTAGAGTTTCTACAGAAGTGTCATGGTTTGGTATTTAAGTTTGTGTGCATTGATTTCACCTGGACTCCAGTGATTCTTGTGCATTCAATTCTTGTCTCCATTGATGATATCCCTAGTTGAACTGGCGGAAAAGAATATAGCTGGTTGTATATATACACCCTCTTAGCACAAGCTGGAAGTAGGAGGTCTCAGGCTAAGTGATAGATGGATCCGTACTTTCAGATGACCAGTTGTGGTTTACAGAAGTTAAACATTGGCATTCATGCTCAGGCAGATTTTTCAGGACAGACTTCTTAGATTATGCTGGTGTGTTCAATAGTGAGAGCCTTCCTTAATTCTCTTTTACTATATGTGTTTGTATTCAGATTCTAATTTATCTACTTATGAAGTGGACCAAATAAATAGTCCCTAAAGCCTAATAAAGACCAGGATTCTGAATTTTAAGGAAATTTTTGTGGCATCCTCCAGCATATCAGGGTCTCTGTTATTTATAAACAGAAGATGAAAGAAGATGAAATTTGAGAAACCCTTTTACTTCTAGACTCTCCTATCATCCAAAAATATTAATAATAGGATATTAGTTATTCATGTAGGAGAACCAACTGTCAATAGAAAAGTTGTGGAAGGATGACTTGCAAGAGAGCTAAGGCGTTGTGATTATTGGGAAGAATGGGATGCAAGAGGAATTGGGGAGCTAACTGAGGGGAGTCTACAGGCTTCTGAAAGAGACTCCACTTATTAACTAAACATGAGTGTTTTTTATTGCCAAATGTGTTGCAAAATAACAGCATGTTGGCTTAGGAACAGTATCGGAATGAATTTGAAGATCTCCTTGACCTCATGTCTACATAGCTCCTAAACATGTCTAATTTTATCCATACCAAATTCCGTTTCATCATTTCAAGTCTCCACCCCTTACTTGTCCTTGGAAGCTCTAGCTATGCATTTACAAAGTAAGTAGTAATATTCATTTTCTTTTAAAATTCGGTGTCAACATTAATTTTTCACTGTCTATATCTTATCCGTTTGTTAGATTGTTAAGTTCTGGAATTAATGGTTTGAAAAATTTTTATACTAAGAAAAGTAACATTTCTCATTAATCATTGCAGAACCCCGTGGCCCTGACACAGCAAGACACACATAAGTCATCAAAAATGCACTGAAAACGGTCTTTTTGTTTATGACATCATCATTGTCATGACCTTTGGGTTTTACAAAGTTGCAATCTGAATCATCTGACAAAGAAAAATTAAAATAAATAGATTTTTCCATGTCTCTTCATAAATTAATGCCAAATAATCACATTACATTAGCTAAATCAAAACATTGAATTATTTATATAAAACACTGTTAAATCTGAGTGTAGTGTTTGGGAGGTAGGGATACATCAATGTGAAACTTCTGTTGATTAAAGATGTTAAATGCTTCAATATAGATATTTCTAAAATAGATGAGGTTTCAAAGTCACAATCCACAAATCCCTAAAAGGAACCTCTATATCCCACTCCACCTCCTCTGAGACTCAGAGAACAATGCCAAAGAATGGGCAGAAAATCTGTAAGATCCAGGTGGGTATAAGGAAGCAGTGCCTTTTGGATAATACACATAGAAACTTCACAGGGGCTGTGACAGGAGCCACAAGGCCTGCGTACCATCAGTAAGTCAGAAGTCCCAGTGTGTGGGTGGCGAGCACACATTTCTTACACTAGCTAAGGAGCTATTGGCAGTTGATAGCTGCTGGGAAAGAAAGAATCCGTGTTCTTTAAGGGTGCGTCCCCTTGTAGACTGATGCTGATGTCCCCTGGTAGGTAAATTACAATAATGTTGATGGCCTCTATCCAAGTGCATTTGAGCAGCATGAATTAGACTTGATGAGTGTGAA